AAAATAAGTGACATTTAATTTCAATTTAAAACTGCCCAACACATTTCAGCCTGAATTTATAGCCTTCTTCAAGGGCATTCATTTCTTCTTCCTCCTCCTCTTCTTTCGGTCTGTACCCAGCTTCAATAGAATCACCTACCCCATGTCAGGAAAAAATTAACACCCCTGACATTTAGGCTGCAATGCATTAGGCCGTTTTAAATTGAAACAAAATGTGACAGAAATGCAAGCAATCTGCTATTTGACGAGAAAACAGAGTAAATGTGAGCACTGAGCATGGACGGACCGAGATACAGTATTTTGCTGCTTAAGGTGGAAGAGCAAATGACACTTCCCACTTCCCTAGTCAAAGCACACAATACTCTGAGCTAGGGGTTCCTTGGCACCTCAGAGAATGTCCCAGAAGTACCTCTCAACCCTCCTGGCAGGAATAATCCAATAACAATAAATTAAGCAAATCATTACAGGCTGCCCTTTCATTGTACCCCAAAGCATCCATCTCAGGCAGTTGCCTCTTTCTGTCTGAAGACAGGACTGGCCCTGACCAAGAAGAACACCGGTCTATCTCAGAGTGCTTCCTTTACTTTACAGAAAATAATGAATATCATCATCTATCAGCAGCTGAGAGATAATGCCGAGCAAACCATTCAGCAAACAGATAACATCCACAAGATGAAGGCTAAAGATAAGGCAGGGGAAGTGCAGCTCAATCTGCTCGCAAGAATGCTTAACCTCCCCTCCCCCCACAAGCATGCAATGCTCAGACCAGTAAGAACCCCTGTGTTATTTTGTTTGTTTGCAGAGTAAACAACTTTCGCTTAAGCTTCATGAGGTGGTTTATGCTGAAGCATTCCAGTTCTACATGCTTGCTTCTCATTTTCTTAAAGGTTCCCCTCAAGTACATGGACCTTCATGTGAGGGATAGGATTTCTAGCAGGACTGGCCCTGCTGTGGAAGCAGAGTGAGGCAGCCGCCTTGGGCCGCGATGGGCTAAGGAGCACGAAACGCAGGGTAGGGTTCATTGTGTGCGGCATACCCCCCACCCTACCCCCATCTAGGCTACTGCCCTCAGGTGCCATGGAGGAGGCAATCCCATCGTGCATGGGCAACTGTCCCTCCAAATAACTACTGCAAGGAGAAAGGGAAGGGCACTACAGTATCTTGTCCTTCTTTTTCAAGCAGTGAAATGTCTTCTTGGACCAGCCCTAGTTTTAAGCATGACTTAAACCCCTTCTAAACCTTTCTAAAAGGGACGTGGTGGCGCTGCGGGCTAAGCCGCAGAAGCCTCTGTGCTGCAGGGTCAGAAGACCGGCTGTCGTAAGAGCGAATCCACGTGACGGAGTGAGCTCCTGTCACTTTGTCCCAGCTCCTGCCGACCTAGCAGTTTGAAAGCATGCAAATGTGAGTAGATAAATAGGTACCACCTCGGTGGGAAGGTAAAACGGCGTTCCCTAGTCACATTGGCCACGTGACAATGGAAACTGTCTTCAGACAAGCACTGGCTCTACGGCTTGAAAACGGGATGAGCACCGCTGCCCAGAATTGGACACGACTGGACTAAAAACATCAAGGGGAACCTTTACCTTTACCTTAAACCCTTTCTGGTTTTCCTACTTTCCCATTTTTAGTCCTTTAATGAGTCACAGGCCTGGACATACGGAGTGTTCTGTGATGCCCCATCCATCCATTCATCCCCGTAGAAGCAAACGATATGTATAAATCTGACCAGTCTCTTCAGACCAGCGAGAGTTCCTGGTAAGAAACGGAGACAAAGTGAAACCTTTTTAAAATGGAGACTCTGGTTCGTAACACTTCATGGAGGAAAATTAAAAGTTTCACTCACTGAAGTAGAGGGGAAATTATGGGGAAAATTACTAATGAAAGAGCTGATAAAATCTTTAGAAATCAGAAAAGGGCCACTAGCCACCCCTGGTGCATCACTGGATCCAGGAAGGAAGGCTCCTTTCCTCCTAGAGACCGTCTAACACTACTGACGGTTGAAAATAAGTCATATTTAATGTGAAACAATGGCCAGCCGTTAACAGCATGCTTGAGCAACGTTCACAACATAGCTCTGGGTCAAAACCATTTATAATTTGTGTAATTTGTATTAGACCGATAATGGGAAGGAAAGAGAACAATCTAGGCTGGCAATTTAGCAGCCAGAAGCTCGGTTCAGTTAGGTGGCAATAGAAATACAGGGAACACGAAAAAGCACAAGTTTTCCTGCAAAAGGAGAACGCAGAGGAGGAGAGAAGTGATTTGGCTGATGGGGAAGAAGCATACACTGTTCCAGGCAGAGGGAGCTGGAAAGTCCAAGGCTTGGAAACCTGAGCGAAACAGGACCACGAAATGTATAGCTTCAGTGGAACGGATGGGGTGAGAAGTAAAGGGAGAAGAGGAGGTGACGTGCCTTACAAGTGGCCTAGAAGTGCAGGGACAAGACATTTGAACTTGGAATGACTAGAAACCTCTACAGAACCTGAGGAACAGAGATGGAACCAAAAGGAATTTTGCAGAGGTGTTTTTTAGAGAGACTCTAGTGTTGTAGTACAGATGGTATAGTGAAGAGACTGGACTAGGGTTGCCCTTGGGGAACTTGGCCCAGTGATCACTCCCTGAAGACCCAGAGTGCCACCACAACAGAAACAAAAAGACCCACTTTTCCCAAGAAGGACACTGATATGCAATAGCGTAGTGTTAAATATGGAAATGCAGAGGCTCATCATGGCAAGACCCGTAACGAGAGCCCTGCCTGGAAGGCTCCAAAATTGCAGGCAGCTGCATCCATCCACATAAAATGAAGAGCAGGCTGTTTGTCAAGATACTGGCTCTTCATTTCCCATTCAAGCAACAACATGCCTCAAATTAGGTTGCATTACAGCAGAGATGGCGAGAAACAACCTAGGGTTCCAGCTGCTCTCTCTTCTAAACTCTCGCTCTCTAGGAGGAAAGGTGTGCTCGCTCTCGGAAACAAAAAAACGAACTAGAAAACAAGCAGGTGATTGTTGGCCACAGGAGCCTCGCTCCCTCTGGTGCCCTCCAGATTCCTCCATCTCCTAGTCAGCAGCAACCCCCGCTGGGTAGGACACCGCTGACTTCCAAAATCTCACAGGCAGCAAAGCAATGCACAGGAAGCTAAAGGAGGCAGAGAAAACCATTTGACATATTTTGTATATTTATCTTATCAGGCTCCTAGAAGTCTATTCTATGTTGTCACAACCCTACTCTAGAAATATACTCCCAGATAGATTTCTATCACTGAAAAATACTGCCATGTCCACCAAGGAAGTTCTGTTTTTGGCTCCCAGCCGTTCTGCCTCTGAGAAATGTTGTGTTAGATGATGTGATTGTACAACAATATTGTGTGGGTCACTCTGGCCTTAGAGAAATATATCTGTGTCCTGATCTTAGGCTCTCCTTTGAATCTCAGCTCAAACCTTTGTTCGATACAATGGAGGGAGAAAGGAGTTCCCAACCGCAGGGATTTTATAAGTTACTGCATTTTGGACAGTAAGGAAAAATGTCCTATACTGTACTGTAAATGCTATAAAGAGGCAGTGATCTGTGCAAAATATATAGTCTTTCTTCTTCTAATAAAGGAGGACAGTCATGTCCTGGTGTGGAAGACCTATACACAGGGTCTGCTTTCCATCTTTTCTCAACCATGAAGGTTTTGGAAAATGACCGTAGAATTTTCAGGACCACGTACATCCCCCAGAAATTAAGTCCACCATACAGTGAAAAGGCAACGTTTGATATCCTGTACAGATTTAGGCCATCTTCATGCTCAGCCTTCACCTTCTAGAAACAAAATGCCTACCTTTTGTGGCTGGAAAGATATCGATCTGTGTCCAAGAGAACTGCAAGAGCCGGAACAGCTTCTTGCTGACCAGTACAGAACCTGTTCCAGGCCTAAGTGGCCCTGCTACCTTCTTCTGCAATGACTAGCTTATGTGGTGCAGTGGTTAAAGCATCGATCAGAAGACCCAGTAGATAACCCGGGCTCTTTCTTTCAGCTTTGCCTAAATTTACATCTCCATTGCGATAATAAAGTGGTGGTGGTGGTGGAAGGAGACATGTCTAACCTGGAACTCCATGAATGGGGGATATTATTGTATTCAGTTGTAGCTTCCCCTTCCTCATGAGAACCCATGTGGCAAACAATTTGTATTAAAAAAAAAAACCTAGTTAAAATACACGAAACCCAAATATCTAAAGTTCAAATTCACAAAGAGCTGAAATCACAAATGCAGTCATACCTGAAACTACAAACACCTGAAATATCTGCTAAGAGAATCTGTTAAAAATAAACAGAATAAATGCAATACAAAGAAGAAGTACCCAGAGACCAACAGAACACTTGCTTATTACCTTCAAGCTTGCATAAATTGATTTTTTTTTTACTGGTCCCTAAAAGACAAAATATGCAGAAGCGGATCTCAAATGGAAGAGAGTTCTGTAACTGAGGTGCCACCACTGAGAAGTCCTTACCAGATGTGATAATCCCATATACAGGCTACCATGTAAAGGTAACAATGTGAAAATAAGGTAAGGAAAAGTAGGGTGAAGTGAGATACCACCACCACCACCACCACTCCCATTCCCTATATCCCCAACCTTCACTGCCATCTTGTCCCAAGAAATTGAGCCAATTCCCTTCCAGCAACACTATTGCCACCTTTCTCCTTGATTCCATTTCAGGTTCTTCTTGGGAACAGCCAAATGAAAGAGAAGGTGGATCCGAGGGCCAAAGGGCCACCTGTTGGAGGGGAGATTTGTTTGGGCCTTGAGTGGTCTTGCTGCTAAACTGTTTCGACAGCTGTTTCAACCGGAGATGGGAAAAGTTAGAAAACAACTTCCAGAATCCCGCTGGTACGCCTACAGGAGCCTTTGGGGAGTCGTAGTCTTAAGAGAGTCACTTTTCCCATTTCAAGTTGAAATGCGGCCCCTGCAATGGGATTTTCAAACCCCCTTGTGGGTTTAAAACAACTTCTTACCCTGAGTAACCCCTGGCTCTCCGAGCGAAATCCTGGATGCTCCTGTTGACCTTGAGCTTCATGAGGTAGGTCGGGGAGTGAACAGCAAACGAGACAGGAGAGTGGGGTGACCTGGAGGAGCAGGAGGAGGAGGAGGAAGAGGAGGAGAAATTCTGCCTGGCTGGCATCTGGGAACTACTGGAGTCATTGGGCAAGAAGGCCTCATCATCCTCGAGATTGTCAGCTGTGTCTATCTCAGGAATGCTAGGCAAGTGGGACGATTTTTCCATAGACATAGCTCTCGGTCTTCCACAAGGTTTCGTGAGATCCATTGCCCAGCCTCTCACTGAGGGTGAGGGAAAGGGCTCCAATAGCAGGTCATAGTTTGGACTGACGCCGGGGGTGGGGGTTGTTGCAGTGGTTGTGGTGGTAGTCGTGGGAATGCTACAGGAGTGCCGCTGGCTTTTTAGTAACCCAAAGAGGGCATCAACGCAGGTAAGTCTGTGTGGCAGAGGAGCCCTGCCAGCCTCCCTGATTCTCTTGTTCTGTCTGACTGTCCGGAGGAAAATTCAGACTCCTTCCCAGTTCTTTTGAGAGCTGGCGCCTGTGGGAGCCGGAAGAGCGGGAGGCAACATCCTAGCCTGTTCGGTGCACGCCAGGTTGGTGGAAGGTGAGAGGTAGTGGTGGTGAGGCGGACGAGAGAGGGGCTCTGCAGGTTGTTGTATGCCTCAAGCACCACACAAGATTCCGGCTGCCTCTCTGCCTGCAGAGCTCCCTCCTTCCCTGCGCCCAAATTCCAGGTTGTCAGCTGCAGCCCACACACGCCTCCTTCCTGCTGATGTCTCTGCACAGTGTCCACTGATTCTCTGGCGATCTCACCAGGTTGGTTCTCTCCCCAAGGGAGTGGAGGGGGGAGTCCTGAAAGCACAGAGAGAGACCCTCTGCACCAACATCAAACAGTCCCAACCAGCTTACAAACGTCTCAACAGTGGGAGCAGCAGCCTAGAAGAGCCAAGGACAGAAAGAGCTAGCCTTCGACTGTTTGTGCCAGACGTCCCTTCCTCTGGTATGTCGTTTAAGGCTAATCATAAAACACTTATCTAGATCTCTAGGCACTCCCCGTCAGCACAGCTAGTCATGCAACTTGCAGGCAGTGTAAGCAAGGGAGAGGCTGGGTTTCCGGCGAGCGGCTTGACCAGCTGACGGCCCCCTCAGCAGATCCTCTTGTAAGTGGTGGAAGAGTGAGCTTGGAAAAGTTACTTTTTCACCCTTGAGCTCCTAGAATCTCTCAGCGTCCATGCCGGCTGGAGGGTTTAGTTTTTTTTTTCTTTCCTAAAAATGAAATTAAATGAAAACGTGTCCAAGTTCAAGGGTGGGGTAGGGTTGGAGGAACCAAATAAACTCAAAACTGTCCAACCAGAATGGGCAGGAGATTTATTTCTCCTTTTCTAACAGCACTACACAAAAGACCTGGCTTCAAGCCAAGGCGCTGCAAGAGGAACAGATCTCAATTTCCTATGAACAAAGATGGTGCCCTGTGAAAAAGCACCCCACGAACAAGAATGAGACGTAAGGTTGTCTAGTCTGTTGATGGGGTTATTTTCATGCATAGGCTTGAAACATCACCTCTGAAACAAAAAGTTACAGGGGAAGGAATTTCTGCTTCCATTTCTCTATCATGCAATAAGAGTCAAGAACAGAATTACTGTAAAACAACAACCTTTAAAAACCACCAGCATAAAGGCCATTATAGTTAAAAGAAATCTTTAAAAAATTCTACTGGCTTCCTGATTTGTTTCCAAGTTGGAAACAACACAGCTTATTGGGGAGCTAATTTTTTCTCAGCCTCTCTCTTCTCCTACAACAGTAGGGGTGCAAAAATATTGATCCGATCTATAGATTAAAGCCAGATAATGTATGAGGAGGACACTGACTACATAATGCATATTTTGCAGGAGTTGTGGGTTCAAGAGTAAGATGAGTAAAGGTACAACCTTGAGAAAAGGCACCTTGAAGTTTGCGATTAAAGCATCTGCCTAGGTCCCATTGGCGTAAAGTTCTCTGGGATCACAGTTATTTGGTAGGCAGGACTGAAGGTCAAAGCGTAGGGCCATGTTTTAATTTACATTACAATATATTTTACTGTGTGTAACTAGGCCTTATGCAAAGGTGCTTTAACTTTTGGGAATTGGGATGGAGGGGAACCTATTCAAAAGCTGGGAAACTCCTAAAGCAATGTTATCATGGGAGAAGGGGAAGTCCAGAAAGGCTCAGTTCAGCCCCAGGGCGCTTTCCTACTCATGGCTCATATAAAATGGCAAAGGATAGCCACCCATTCCCTACTCTGCTCACCTGAGAGCTCTGCCCATCCCTAAAATGTCAGTTTCAACCTAGGGAATAACTTTTGGGAATTGGGAGGAGGGGAACCTATTCAAAAGCTGGGAAACTCCTAAAGCAATGTTATCATGGGAGAAGGGGAAGTCCAGAAAGGCTCAGTTCAGCCCCAGGGCGCTTTCCTACTCATGGCTCATATAAAATGGCAAAGGATAGCCACCCATTCCCTACTCTGCTCACCTGAGAGCTCTGCCCATCCCTAAAATGTCAGTTTCAACCTAGGGAAGGTTTTTTCGGGCGGGGTTTTTTAACCTGATCACGTGGGCCCAGCATTACTTCCAGTATGGAATAGACCATCTTTATGCTGGGATAGTGGACTGCCCTCCCATTTCTTGTGACATCATACTTTCCTATTGTGAGTCTATGGTGCTGTCACCCACTTTCACAGAAGCAGCTGAGTTGGGAAGCAGGCAGCTGTTTAAACAATCTTAATTATCAGAAGCAGCCTAGGAAAGGGGGGGGGGGCAGGAAGATGCCTGGAGAGAGCTTGGCAGGAGATCCGGGCGGGCGGGAGCTCATGCTACAACAGAAGTCTCTCGTGTGCTTATGACCTCGGTCTATATCAAGAGCAAACTGGATACTCTCTGCCATCAGGTAAAATTCCTGGGCTGAGAACAAACACCACAACCTGGATTCTTCTGGCTGTTATGAAGCAGGCACCAGCATGTCAGCTTTTGAGTTACAGAGGACTCTTCATCAGATCAAAGGAAGAGTTCTATGCTACTCCAAAGCCTATACGTTCTTAAGCTTGTGTGTTTCATCTAATAATCACTTATCTCTTTACTGATTTCACGACCTGTAATCTCTGGGCCCAGCACAGCAATAACGGATCATTTATTGTTGCACAAGCTGCCTAAGTGATAAATGCAAGAAAAGTTGCAAAGTGCTGATTGCAGAATTTGCTGATCACTGTCTTCAAAGATAACAGCGGCAGAGAAAGATAAGTATGAAGGAAGTGCCTCTGCCCAGCAATTCCCATGACTTTTATTCTATAAAAAGTAGTTCACAGTTTACTTATTTATTCTAATATCCCAAAGCATGCCTTATTTTTACACAGTGAGCTATTCGGGGGGGAAACCCCCAATAATAATAAACAACTCATCCTATGATAGTGTTAAACTCTAAAGCAGGGAGGAGCAAAATGCACCTCATTGTTGGACTGCAATTCTCATCAGCCCCAGCTAGCACAGCCAAAGAGGAACAATAACGGGTGTTAGAGCCCAACAGCATCTGGAAGGTAGCACATTGCCCAGCTATGCTCTAAACAGGTAACATGCATAAATCCAGTGAGAGATGAAGTAGGAAGGAATAATGATAAGAATCGTGTGCTTGCAAATCAAATAATTCTGTGCCTTCAAGTCAATGGACGTAAGAAGCAATACTAATTAATGATTGTGCGCCATCAAATCAATTCTGACTTACGGCAGATCTTTTCAGAGTTTTCTAGGTAGAGAGCCCACAGGTTACCCTTCCCTTCAGAGGAGTGCCCTGGGACTGTGCAGCTTGCCCAAGGCCACACAGGCTGGCTCTTTTCTGGGGTGCACAGTGGGGAACTGAACTCCCAACCTCTGGCTCCATTGCCAGACGCCTAAGGACTCATGGAGCCAGCCAGCCTCAGATTAAGCAAAGCCCAGGAAAATGGTATGGTGACAAGGAAGAAGATAGAGTGCTAGCAGGACTCATGGAGCCAGCCAGCCAGCCAGCTACAGATGAAGCAAAGCCCAGGAAAATGGTACGGTGACAAGGAAGAAGATAGAGTGCTAGCAGACAGAATTCCTTAAGCCCAGGGAGTAGGGTTGCCACTCTGGGTTTTGTTTTCTGTTGGTTTTTGGGCGGCACACCTGCTGTGCCCAAAGAGCAGAAATCCAGCAAATGAAGCTTTACATATCACTGCATAGGATGCAAAGGTACCCATGAAAAGTTTCACCCAAGAAGTTTCTGCCAGTTAAGCCTAGGGACACGGGATTTGTGTTGGCTATTTAGGATAGGTCAGGTAGTCAGTCAATTTATATTTATATATTGTTTGCATTTACTTTTTCTAGTTATATGTTTTGCGGTACACTGCCAAGAGGGTGCATTACAATAATAATAAATAAGCAGAAACAAATTGAAACAGCCAATTAATCTCTGCTGCCACCTGCTGGAGTGTCTAAAGAGTGCTACCCTGTACAAGCACAAACTGAAATGCAGAAAAAAGAAGAAAAAAGCGGTACAGCAGGTCACTAAATAGACAGTCTTTAAGCAGATACGCCCATTTCGTAAACACTGCTGGAAATATATTAACCTAGCCATGACGAGTGTGTTTTACTTTAAAAAAAAAACCAACAACAACAACAATGACCAAGGCAATTACTTTAAAAAAAACCCAACAACAACAACAACAATGACCAAGGCAATTATTTCTATTGCACAGAGATAGCTACTCTTCCACTCTGCCTGGGGAAAAAAACCCCACACAGTTCCCAATGTTTTGGTGGTGGGTACTTGAGAGTTCCCATTGCTGCACCCATGCAATTATTCTGTCATTCCTCCTGAACAGGTTTCTTTTTCTAGTTATAAAATAATGTGGTGGTGGTGGGGGAGTGAATCCAAAAGGGAATATAAGGGGAAGGTTGAAAACGGAAGGTGAGGATGACATTTGCACCCCTGCGTAGAAGAGCCGGTGTGGTGCACGGTTACAAGAGCTTGACTGGGGCAAGGGAGAGGCCGGGCACGGTCCCAACGGAGCCAGGAGACCCGTCGGGTGGCCTTGGGACTCTTATTCTCTCTCTCTCTCTCTCTCCCCAGGGCCTTGGGCTCAGGGTTTGTTGGGAAGTTCCAGTGAGGAAGAGGTGAGCTTCACAGACAAAGTGCCTTGGACTCAGTAGAGAAAAAGCAAGATAGAAACACTCACTAATTAGATAACTGATAAATCTGCCAACCACCGAGCTCCAGTTACACGGGCCGTGCCAGTGTCACCTGGAAGCAGGCTCCCTTCTCGTAGTCATCCACGCGCTGCTTTTGCTTCTACCCACCCCTGTCCCCAATGAGAAAGGAAGGGGATGCGGGCACCTCCCGTCGCCCTCAAAGCCCACACCGGCAGGAGGCGCAGAGGCCGGCTGCACTCGCCAGCCACAGCTTCCCAGTGGTGAGCTGCGTGCCAGGCTTGAGAAGTGCACCTCGGCTTGTGCTGCCCCCTGACCACAGGGACCCTGACTGTAAATACAGGCTCCCTCGATCGGTCAAGGGCACGGCTGGTGGGAGTGACCGTATTCTTCCTCTCGACACACAGACGGAGTTTATTTCAACACGTTTCTAACATCACCCTGATTCAAACCTCATCTCAGCCAGGAACTCGCTGGAAGATCTTACGCCAAAAGCTTTGCCTTAGCCTTGGTTCTGCCATCTGTCGAGCCTGCTGGCAGCACCAACTTTTTCTGGGTGACAAGAAGAGAGCCTCCATAGTGTTAGCAGAGAAAGAGTTGAGCTAGAAGACTCAGAAAACCTGAATTCAAATCCTGATCAGCCACAGAAACTCACTGGGCGAGACAGAAATAGAGAAGCACTTGCTGAACTGATCACATACCTCAAAACCCCCATCAGGGCCACCAGAAGTTGGAAGTGACTTGACAGCCGAGAATATACACACAAGAACAGATGCCAAATGGTTCAGACTTAGATTTCAGAAACCCGAGTTCAAATCTCCACAAAGCAAAAGAATTCACTGGCCAGGGCCTCTCGTTCTTTCTTCCTCACTAGCTTGTTGGTAGGATAAAGTGGGAAGTAGGAAAGCCATGTACACAATCAGAACTCAGTGGAGGAAATGCAAGACAAAAATAAAACAATACAATAAATTAATTAAAATTGCAAATGTGGTTCAGGGTAATTGGCTGCAGAGTGAGAAACTTTGAGACACAACATCTTTATATGACATAGGCGGAAATTGCACCTTTGCCATA